TACAGAAGATTTATTATTTATTATTTATTTACAGCTTTTATATTCCGCCCTTCTCACCCCGCAGGGGACTCAGGGCGGATTACAGTGTACACATATATGGCAAACATTCAATGCCAATTTGACATACAACATATACAGACATACACAGAGGCTATTTAACTTTTTCTGGCCACCAGGGGAGCTATCACTTTCATCGTCCATCTGCGACACTGATGAAGTACTTCCGCATTCCCCGCATGCTTTTTGCTGGAGTGCTTTGCTGGAGTCTTTTTTATGGCCTCATAAATTAGTTAATTTAGCCTCCCCACACTTTAAAGTGGTACCTAATTTTCCTACTTGACAGATGCAACTGTCTTTCGGGTTGCAAAGGTCGACAACAGGCTACACACAATTGGTTGGAAACCCACTCCAACCCGGGCTGGCTTCGAACTCATGACCTTTTGGTCAGAGTGATCTTAATGCAGCTGACACTCAGCCAGCTGTGCCACAATCCCGGTGCTTGCTGAATGGAAGGTTGGCAGTTCAAGCTACAGATGGAGTAAGCTCTCACTGTGAGCCCTAGCTTCTGCTTACCTAGGAGTTTGAAAACAGCAATGTGAGTAGATAAATAGGTACCGCTTTGGCAGGGAGGTAAAAGGTGCCCCAGAAAACATGCCTGTCGCACACCAGGGCTGGGAAGGACAGTGTATCTGTCCGAACGGATCTCCCTTTACGTCCCACCCCGGAGTCTAAGATCTTCTGGGGAGGCCCTGCTCTCGACCCCACCTCTATCACAAGTGAGTTTGGCGGGGACAAGGAGCAGGGCCTTCTCGGTGGTGGCCCCCCACCTGTGGAATTCGCTCCCTGGGGAAATTAGATCAGCGACACCACTCCTTTCCTTCAGGAAAAAACTGAAAACATGGATTTGGGACCAGGCATTCGGACAATCGGGCAGTTAAAGAAAGGACTTTGACAATGGTCAGGAAGTGACTAATGGAATGGAACTATGGAACTCTGAAAGACGAACGCTGAGCATGTGAATAGTTTTTATATGATGTGAAGTATATTGATTGTTATGATTGTTTTAACTGTGATAATTGTTTTAACTATGGTTTTGTACACTATGTATAATTTTTGTATAGGCATCGAATTGTGCCTTTTGTAAGCTGCCCTGAGTCCCCCCTCGGGGGTTGAGAAGGGCGGGGTAAAAGTACCTGAAATAAATAAATAAGGCACCTTTGAACCAATCTCACACTCCAGAGTCCTGTAGAAGATATTGTCCATAGTAAAAGTCACTTAAACTTGGGAAACAGGAATCCAAACACCAAGCTCAGGCAAACTGCGACTGAAGACTTGGCACACAAAGTTCATCCCGAGAAACAGGAATGGATAAAAATCATGACAAAGATCCAAGAGTTACAAAAGTCTGTGATCTCAATCCAGGAACCACATAAAACAACAGGAAAACATAAAATCCAAGGTTCATGAAACTTGAACACAAGAAAGGAATTGCTGCCATAAACCAAATGTTGATTTATTGTCGAAGGCTTTCATGGCCGGAATCACTGGGTTGTTGTAGGTTTTTTCGGGCTATATGGCCATGGTTTAGAGGCATTCTCCCCTGACGTTTCCCCTGCACCTATGGCAAGCATCCTCAGAGGTCCTTTTGAGTTTAGGATACTTGCCATAGATGCTAGTGAAACATCAGGAGAGAATGCTTCTAGAACATGGCCATATAGCCCTTAAACCTGGACCTTGATTCCTCTGAGGAATCAGCCTCAATCATCCCTCATATATACTCAAAAAGCTATGCCTTTTCCCTTGGGAAGATTCAGGAGGGTTCTTCTTGTCTAGTAATCTGATGGAGCGATGTCTCCCCTCAGCCATCTGTCTATGTTGACCGATTTGACCTCTTCTATCTATCTCGAAGGAGGCCTCCTTTTCTGCATCGCCAATTAGCACATTCTTTTCACATTCTGACCTTGATTCTCTTGAGAAAACTACCTCTGGCCTCTCAGCCTCTTTCTCTACCTGTAATGGAACATCTAATGCAGGCCCAAAAGCCTGAGCTTCACCATGACTATCAACACTCTCCTGCCTGTGGATCTGCAAAACTTTCAACACAGTTCTCTGAAATCTCAGGCAATGAATCACAGGCTGAACCACAACAATGCCAGCAATTTGATCAGGGAGGCGTCCATAGACAACAGGCTCCTTGGTGTGGAAAAATAGAACAACAGCACCTCCCCATGGCTAAGTCAAGCACAGCTTCCAGACGCCTGAGATGAAAAATTTATTTATTTATTTGTTTGTTTGTTTGTTTGTTTGTAATCTGCAGGGGACTCAGGGCGGATTACAATGTACATATACATGGCAAACATTCAATGCCATAGACACGCAACATATATAGACAGACACACAGAGGCTATTTAACATTCTAGCTTTTTCATGAGGGTATTCTGGCCACCAGGGGAGCTGTCACTTCATCGTCCATTTGTGACACTGATGAAGTACTTCCTCATTCTTTGCATGCATGCTGGAGATTTTTATGGCCTTGTAAATTTAGCCTCCCCGCATAAGCGGTACCTAAATTTCCTAATTGACAGATACAACTGTCTTTCAGGCTGCAAAGGTTGACAGCAAGCAACACAAATTGGTTGGAAGCTCACTTTGACCTGGGCTGGGTTCGAACTCATGACCTTTTGGTCAATAGTGATCTTAATGCAGCTGATTCCTAGCCAGCTGCACCACGGTCCCGGTGCAAAAAAGAAGAAAGTCTTGCCTCTGTGTATTGTCTGTCTTTGTTGTTAACTGTTTAACAGCACTGAATGTTTGCCGTATATGTATTCTGTAATCCGCTTTAAGTCCCCTCTGGGGACTGTTATAGAGTATTATTATGATGGTATGTTTGTCTCATTTAATACAAACTACTGGTAATATTGGGCTCCATGGTGGAACAGCAGGTTAAACTGCTGAGCTGCTGAACTTGCTGACTGAAAAGGTTGGTGGTTCAAATCCGGGGAGTGGGATGAGCTCCTGATGTTAGCCCCAGCTTCTGCCAACCTAGCAGTTTGAAAACATTCAAATGTGAGTAGATCAATCGGTATTGCTTCTATGGGAAGATAACGGCACTCCATGCAGTCATGTCATGCTGACCACATGACCTAGGAGGTGTCTATGGACAATGCTGGCTCTTCAGCTTGGAAATGGAGATGAGCACCAATCCCCAGAGTAGGATTCAACTAGACTTAATGCCAAGGGGAAACCTTTACCTTTACTTGTAATTGTTGGGGTTCAGCCTGCGTGTGAACCTGAACCTGATTCTCTGATTGCATTTCCTGATGCAACTGAACAGGCTACTGAACATGTTTTTTCCCCTGAAACTGTTGATTCTGAGGTCAGTGGTTTGGAAAGTGAAACTACATTTCCTGATGGGAATGTTTCAGAATCTAGCGGTGATAGCTCTCCAGAGGAGCTATCACCTGCCTTTTTTAATGAGGATAGAAAAGGACAGATTTGGAAAAACAGGAGTGAATCGCAGAGTCTGCGAAGGTCAAGCAGATTAAAGGAAAGGGAGGCACAAGCTTCAAAGCCTGGAGGCATGTCCTGAAACAGTTTCTTTAGTTTTAAGTGTCTCTCCCAGGGCTGACTCATTAGATCAAGCATCGTTTCGACTGAGGCAATACCTTGGCAGATTTCCCATTTCCCATGGCCTGCATTCCCAGAGGCTTCTAGTTTCCAAGGTACGGTTAGTGAAATGCTAACAGGTTCCAGGTTTTTATAGTGTTACTTTTGGAATTTTGATCTAGTTCAGAGATATTCCTCACTGCTGAATTTTACTGTGGCTTTTTGACTTCGTCTTTTCCTCTATTTTGTAACTATTTTTCATCAATAAAAAAGGATTGTTTTTTCCCACAGTCAAGTGTGGTGGATTAATATCTTATGGTCTTGTTTCCTGATCTGGGTTGCAACCAGAGGTGGCCCTAAGTAATTTTCAAAGGTAAGCAAACAGTATTTTGGCGCCCCCCCCCCCCCAACCAATCATTGATATATATTTTCTGTTCGTCGTGGGAGTTCTGTGTGCCATATTTGGTTCAATTCCATCATTGGTGGAGTTCAGAATGCTCTTTGATTGTAGGTGAACTATACATCCCAGTAACTACACTTGCCGCACTTGCTCCCTTGCCTGGCCCGCTTTGGGTTCTGAGGTGTGCCTGAAGACCCCGGTGTGTGCACCAAGTCACCTCTTCTCCTGACTTTCTCCTCAGACATTGGGAACAAGAGAGAGAGAGAGAGACAGACAGAGGTGGAGATGCCCACCTTTCCTGAAGGTAGGCGCAAAAACAAAGGAGGGAGCAGAGGTGGGAGATACCTCCAGCCGGAGGGGCTCTCTCTCTCTCTCTCTCTCTCTTGGTCCCAATGGCTGAAGAGAAAGTCAGGAGAAGAGGCGACTTTTGGTGCACACTGGGGTCTTCAGACACGCCTCCGGACCCGAAGCGGGCCAGGGGCGACGGCTCCACCCCTTGGCCCACCCGCAGATTGGGGAGAGGAGAGGAGGTGGGTGGAGCGCCGGGGGATCGGGAAAGGGAGACGGTCATGGGGAAGGGATCAAACACGGAGAACGATTGAGCGCCGGCTCTGCTCGCGCACCCGGTGGCCAGGTGGAGCAGGAACGAGAGGGGCTAGGCGAGGCTCAAGGGCCCGGCCCCTTTGGGAAGAGGATCGCCCAGCAGCGAGGCAAGAAAGCCGAGGCTCCCCCCAGACTGCTAGGGCTGTTGTGAACTGAGGGGGTGCTCCTCAAGTGGTGGTCGAGGGGCATTTACAGAGGCACCTCTGCGCCCCTGGCAAAAAAAGTGTTCTGCGACCGCTTACTTCGCATAATGGACGAGCCGCCCCTGGTTGCAACAGTAATATTAAAAAGAGGGAGAGAGAGAGAAACAGAACATTTCAGTCCAAGCACTTCTTTTGCTCTTGCCATTTTTGTCAAACTTTACCAGGCACCAACCAATCACTCCTTTCCATCCTATTCAACATCTTTATTTGCTTTTGTTTTTAAAAACTGTAGAACATTTTAAAGAGTCTTGAAAATCAGTGCTGCACATGCTTCATGGCTTCGTTGAGGACCGCCATCCCATTCAGCTCCCGCAACCGACTGGTGTGCCTGCAAAACACGGTGTCAGAAAAGCAAGTTGAAACGAGAGAAAATTGCAAAAGGGACCAAGAGGTGGACTTCTGAATGGATTTAATTGGGGAGAGATGTGAGATTCAGGTTCGTAAGAAACCTCGATGCGATGGAGTGCCTCGTAAACAAAACAGAAGAGCTATTGTTTGCTGTGCTTATGGGAAGAATCAACACTGCTGCGGGTCTGGAGATCCATCGCCTTCAAGATGCTGAAGGAGAAGCTCTCCATCTGCCTTGGCAATGAAACGCAACTCCAATGGAGGCTTGTTTCTATGCTCTTGAGAATTGTTGTTGTTGTTCATTCGTTCAGTCGTCTCCGACTCTTCGTGACCTCATGGACCAGCCCACGCCAAAGCTCCCTGTTGGCCGTCACCACCCCCAGCTCCTTCAAGGTCAGTCCAGTATTTTGGCCATCTTCCGACCTTGGAGTCCCATCTTCCAATGGCATACCGACATATCTCTGGTTGTACTGGTCCATTTGGTTTTCTTGGCAAGGATACTGGGGTGGTTTGCCATTGCCTTCCCCAGGGATCACGCTTGGTCTGACCTCTCTGCCACGACCGTCCCATCTTGGGTGACCCTTCACGGTTTCGCTCATGACATCATTGAGGTGCTCAAGCTCCAGTGCCACAACAAGGCGGTGATCCTTTGCTGGAGGCTCTTGAGTATTAGTGCTATGTAACCCAGGCATGGGCAAACTTTGGCCCTCTTTCCAGGTGTTTTGGACTGCAACTCTCACCATTCCTCACAGCCTCAGGCCCTTTCCTCTCGTATACAACTGTGGGCTCCCTCCATCAGCTCAGGTGCCCATAAATATTCATCACAATCCTGTAGGAAGACTTGCCTGGCATCGGCGGTGCAGAGCTTCCCTAAAGCGATGGCAGCGTTCTCTTGCACCGCAGTCTTCTCCGCCTCCCTCCCGGCCACTTTCAAGAGGATTTTCACAACATTTGTGTCGAGCAAAACTGTGGCTGTCCCAGGGACCTCCAGGCATTTCCCGAGGCAGAAGGCCGCGTTTCCTGCCACCCCTTCGTTCTGCGAACGCAGGCGTTTCAGTAATGTGCTACATTCTGGGGAGACAAAGAGAAGAGAAGAAAGGGCAAAGAGATGCCGTCAAATATCAGTGCAGGAGGGAAGGAATCGCCATCTCTTTCATGCAGTGCTTCTCAGTCTTCCTAATGCTGCAACCCCTTATTACAGTTGTGCATATTGTGGTGACCCCCAACCATTAAATTATTTTTGGGTTGTTGTAGGTTTTTTTGGACTATATGGCCATATTCTAGAGGCATTTTCTCCTGGCATTTCACCTGCATCTATGGCAAGCATCCTCAGAGGTAGTGAGGTCTGTTGGAACTAGGAAAATGGGTTTATATATCTGTGGAATGACCAGGGTGGGACAAAGGACTCTTGTCTGCTGGAGCTAGGTGTGAATGTTTCAACTGACCATCTTGTTTAGCATTTGATGGCCTGGCAGTTGTTTGGTGTGGCTTGTTAGTGCCTGGGGCAATCTTTTGTTGAGAGGTGATTAGATGTCCCTGAATGTTTCCTCCCTGTTGTTTTGCTGTTGTAATTTTAATTACAACAAAAAAAATGTTGCTAATTAAGATGGCCAATTGCAACATTCCCACTTGCCTCAAGCCTTGAAGTTTCAAAGCCTGACTGCTGGCTACTAGTATTTGCAAAAACCTCTAAAATCGAGACAGTAAATAAAGAGGAACACTCAGAAAACACGGGAATGCCAGACAAAAATAAATCAGGGCCAGCTAACATCTCCCAACAAAGTATCCAAGAGAGATATTGACAAGCTGGAATGCATCCAGAGGAGGGCGACTAAAATGATCAAGGGTCTGGAGAACAAGCCCTATGAGGAGCGGCTTAAGGAGCTGGGCATGTTTAGCCTGAAGAAGAGAAGGCTGAGAGGAGATATGATAGCCAGCCATGTATAAATATGTGAGAGGAAGCCACAGGGAGGAGGGAGCAAGCTTGTTTTCTGCTTCCTTGGAGACTAGGACGCGAAGCAATGGCTTCAAACTACAAGAGAGGAGATTCCATCTGAACATGAGGAAGAACTTCCTGACTGTGAGAGCCGTTCAGCAGTGGAACTCTCTGCCCCGGAGTGTGGTGGAGGCTCCTTCTTTGGAAGCTTTTAAACAGAGGCTGGATGGCCATCTGTCAGGGGTGATTTGAATGCAATATTCCTGCTTCTTGGCAGGGGGTTGGACTGGATGGCCCATGAGGTCTCTTCCAACTCTTTGATTATATGATTCTATGATCACCCTGTCACAAAATTATAAGCACCTAATCAAACTAAGGCCATTCAATGCTAATCAAGATGGCCAATTGCAACATTCACACTTGCCTCCAACAGACAAGAGTTCTTTCTCTCACCCTGGACATTCCACAGATAAATAAACCTCACTTGCCTAGTTTCCAACAGACCTCACAAGCTCTGAGGATGCCTGTCATAGATGTGGGCAAAATGTCAGTAGAGAATGCTTCTGGAACATGGCCAGACAGCCCTGGAAAACTCACAGGAATCCGACTATTTCATAGATGGAAAACACGCACGGAAGTCCCACTTCTTGGTATATTGAGAACAGATGGCAGCCACGATAAGCCAACACAAAAGGGACGCAATTCTGCAAATCTGCCTGGGTTCTCAACCTTCCTAATACCACGACCTCTTAATACAGTTCCTCATGTTGTGGTGACCTCTAACCATAACATTATTTTCGTTTGCTACCGTTATGCATCGTCATGTAAATATCTGATATGCAGGATGTATTTTCATAAATACCCGATACGTCCCCATTTGAATACTGGTGTGGTTGGGTTAGACTGATTTTGCCATTTAGGAGTTGTAGTTGCTGGGATTTATAGTTCACCTACAAATCCAAGCAACTACAACTCCCAGACTGTACAATCAAACGATGGAATTGAACTCCCATGTCCAGTGGAAAATACTGGAAGGGTTTGGTGGGCATTGACCTTGAGTTTTGGAGTTGTAGTCCACCTACATACAGAGAGCATTGTGGACTCAAACAATGATGGATCTGGACCAAACTTGTCACGAATACTCAATATGCCCAAATGTGAACACTGGTGGAGCTGGGGGGAAATAGACCTTGACATTTGGGAGTTGAAGTTGCTGGGATTTATAGTTCACCTACAATCAAAGAGCATTCTGAACTCCATCAGTGATTGAACTGAACCCAATTTGGCACACAGCACTCCCATGACTAAGAGAAAATACTCAATGGTTTTGGTGGGAATTGACCTTGAGTTTGGGAGTTGTAGTCCACCTACATCCAGAGAGCACTGTGGACTCAAACAGTGATGGATCTGGACCAAACTTGGCACAAATACTCAATATGCCCAAATGTGAACATTGGTGGAGTCTGAGGAAAATAGACCTTGACATTTAGGAGTTGAAGTTGCTGGGATGTATAGTTCACCTACAATCAAAGAGCATTGTGAACTCCATCAGCGATGGAATTGAACCCAACTTGGCACACAGAACTCCCACAACCAAGAGAAAATAAGGGAAAGGTTTGGTGGACATTGACCTTGAGTCCAACTACATACAGAGAGAATACTCAATGGTTTTGGTGGGAATTGACCTTGAGTTTGGGAGTTGTAGTCCACCTACATCCAGAGAGCACTGTGGACTCAAACAATGATAGATCTGGACCAAACTTGGCATGAATACTCGATGTGTCCAAATGTGAACACTGATGGAGTTTGGGGAAAACAGACCTTGACATGTGGGAGTTGTAGTTGCTGGGATTTATAGTTCACCTACAATCAAAGAGCATCCTAAACCCCATAAATGATAAAATTGGGCCAAACTTCCCACATTGACCCCCCCCCCCCATGACCAAGAGCAAATACTGTGTTTTCTGATGGTCTTTGGAGACTCCTCTGACACTCCCTCATGACCTCCCCTGGGGTCCCGACCCACAGTTTGAGAAACGTTGCTCTGACAGAACCTAGCACTTACTTTTGTCTGACTTCACAAGCTGCTCCACAGCCTGCCGGCTGTTTCTGACACAAACCGCCAGGGTCTTCAAGGCATAGCCAGATGTGGTCTCCTCTCCAATCTAGAAGGCAAAGAGAGGCAAAGAGAAAACAAACAGGAAAAGGCCACAGAGCTAGAGAGTTGTTTGTTGGAGGATTTACACAAAGGCACCACGTCATAAGTGTGTTACCCTTTCCCTTCTTTAGTTCGCAACTGTGCACATGCAAAGGCAGGATTCAAACGCTATGACTTTTAGCAGGGACACCAGAATAACTCTGTAGTTCTCATGACACTGCTTCAGGGGCATTTCCATACATGAACTGCTGAGAAGGGAATATATCTATTAAAGGATTGATTTCTCTGCACACTAAACAGGAGAGGGAGAAAAGTCTTTCCGGTTTATACTCTATTTTCACAGGGCTAGGAAGTCCGTCTAAACAGCCAGCTTCAGAATGATTCAACTCCCTGGAAATTTATCTCCTGTTCTGTATATTCCTGGGACATTTAACATAGCTTTTCATCTTTCTATACACATAACACGAGGGTGGAATGAAAAGTAATGCCTCCACCTTCGTAGCTCCTCAACAGATGGCAGTACTAGTATGCAGCAGGTACTGGCTTGTTCAGTAGACTCTCCTCTAAAGTTCCATTTTGGTGGGAAGCCTTAGCATTGAACGGTTGTGTTGTTAAAGTGCGAAGTATGACATCCTGTGCAGATGGTCGGTTAATGCAACTTAAGCAACGTGCAGTCTGTTGCACTCCAGAGCTGGAAACAGGGCCCTCTTGTCATTAATAAACCACGCCTTGGTTTAGGAAAAATACAATCCTTTTGATTGAATGATGAATATAAAATAGATAGAAGTCCAAAGGTAAAAAAGCCAAAATGAAACTAAAATGGCAGGGAGAAGGTTTGAGGAAAAGAGACAAAGAGAGATCCTGAGAACTGGAAAGCACGCTTTATTCTCGGTTGGCGCCAACCGAGACCCCCTGGACCCCCTGGTAAGCCAGGAAAGAAGGGTACAGAACAAAGGAAATGCTGAGTTTATATACTTTTTGAAATAATTATTCATGCATCATATAGACATCACAATGTGCATCACAAACTTCTACTTTTACATTGACTTCAATAGCATATTTTCAAATTTAACACCTTGTCAATCTTCCTTAGTGTTCTATCTAAAGAGTGGCTATTAATGAACCCCAGCGCCAGGATGTCTTCTGGACCTGATAGCAAGTTTCTCCATCCATCCTGAGATAAGGTCTTTCTGACATCTCCTAATGGACACTTCATTAGTCAGGCCCATGATAAGGTGCCTGGTACCGTATCTTATTGGCCTCTTGAAATATGCCAAGCCTGAGACATTCCTTTCCTAGATGCTGGCGTTTCTAATTTTGCAGCTTTTAAGAAGTCAAGTGAAATGGTCATGTATACATACATTTCTCTTTGTGAACTATATATTTTCTAACTCCTATTTCTAATATGGTTACATCAAATATATTTTCCAATATGTGTATTATGTATTTTCATCAAGCCTTCATCAAAACAGCAAACAGCAATGTCCAGAAAGCTTGCAGAAAATCCAAAGCAATAATGTCCAAACAACTCTCAATAGAAATCCATGAACAGATTAGTCCCAGCTAACTCTCACTTGAAGCCAGAAATTCCCGTAGAGACCAGACCACTGGAAACTGGAAAACCCAGAGGGTTTGTGCTTGATACTAAACAATGCTTGGTCTGAGGAAATCCCCCTCACGGGCACTCTTAGATCCCAAAAACTGATTCCGGCGAACTCTTATCTTTGGTTTCAGTTGTCAGATTCTCTCAGATCTACCTAAACATTAAGCCTCCCTGTGGTTCTGGCTTATCTCTGAGCTGCGGCTGTTATCATTGACCCAACCAGGTGTCAAGTTATCTTGCAAGCTCGGGCCAGGAGGAAAAGGAAGTGAATTTTTTTCTCTCGGTCTGACAGAAACATTCTCATGAGAACTTGGCTTTTCCCTTGAAGCCTTTAAATCAAAGCCTGTAGGGTTTTTACTGCCCAAAGTGTCGCCATCTTGAGCCTCATCCTCATTGATCACTTCAGCCTCACTATCCAAACTTGGCCCAACAACATTAACATCTACATTAGGCAATACAATCAAAGATTCAGGCTCAGGTTCATACACAGATTGAGTCCCAACACAGTCATTGAATTCTTGACTGCAGAAGGTGTCACCCCAAAGGAGATTCATCAGAGAATGCAAACTGTTTATGGTGATTGTGTTGATGTGAGTACTGTGCATCGTTGGGTGGGAAAGTTTAAAGATGTTGAGGTGGGAACATCTGACTTGCATGACACACAAAGAGTTGGATATCCTGTGACAGCAACCATTGAGTTTCACAAGCAAAAGTTTGACAGATTGATTAAGGACGATCATCGTATCAGAGAGAAATTTCAAGCATAATCAGCATTTCACAAGAATGTGTGGGTCACATTATTGCTTTGCTTGGCTATCGGAAGATCTCTGCACGATGGGGACCCAGGATGAGAGAACCGTGAGACGCTGGTTGCGGAAACAGAGTGTCGACTTCTTCGGTGACGGCTTCAGAAAACTTGTTCACCGTTGGCAGAAATGTATTCAATTATCTGGTGATTATGTGGAAAAGCTAATAGTGGAAGTTAAGGAGCACATTCTAAGGATTATTTCTGCGTTTCTATTAAAATATTCCCATCCAAAGCCAAGTAACGAAGGTGGAGGCATTACTTTTCATTCAACCCTCATAAAAGGGAAAATATGTATCTGTGCATGTGGCCACGTTTGGTTTAATTCCATCATCGGTCGAGTTCAGAATGCTCTTTGATTGTAGGTTAATTATAAATCCTAGCAACTACAACTCCCAAATGACAAAATCATTTTTTTGGAGTGATGGTCACTCCTTGGGGTTAATAGGTGTTGTCTACCTATCCGAATGTATCTCCTGCCATGAACCATCACAAAGTTTAAGATCTTCAGGAGAGGGCTTTCTCTCGATCCCACCATGGTTGATGGGGACGAGAGACAGGGACTTCTCAGCAGTGGCCCCCCACCTATGGAACGCCCTCTCTAGAGATATCAGATTGGCCACGTCCCTTTTGTCTTTTAGAAGGAACATCAAGACCAAGTGTTTGATCAGTGAGAAACAAGTGGAAGAAGATCACACAACTTATGGCAATGAATTGACCCGGACTGATTTTTGGATTTTGATTTTAATGGATGTGTCTTAATTAATTGTTTTAATTGTTGTTTCAATTTTTAACATTTTGATTGTACTGTGATTGTTTTCATGATGTTTTCATGATTGTTTTCATGATTGTTTTCATGATTGTTTTCATGATGTTTTCATGATGTTTTCATGATTGTTTTCATCGTATGATGCTTTTGTTAGGCCGCCCTGAGACCCCTTTCGGAGGGGAGAAGGGCGGGGTATAAATATAGGAAATAAATAAATAAATAGGTGTCTTGTTGCCAAATTTGGCATCAGTTAATCCAGTGGTTTTTGAGTTATGTTAATCCCACAAACGAACATTACATTTTTATTTATATGGATGCAACCAGCCAAGAAGGAACACGAGGGGCGCATCTCGTGACCAATTCCAGTTCCTGTTGATTCACAACAGGCAACGTGTGCATTTGGCACTCCAAACCCTTTGTACCTGATTAGGTGAGAAGATGCGGAGGAGTATTTGTTCATGCACTACACAGAGAGCCTTCAAGGGCACAGCAACAAGAACAACACTTCCGTGGGCGCAGTAGAAAGCCAAAACTGGAGAATTACCTTCAGGAACTTGACCATTTTCTTCACCACGCCTTGCTTCATGGCCTCTTCCAGCGCCACTAGACTGCCAGGAAGGATGCGGCTGAGAAGCCCAACGGCTCGCTTAATTTAAAAAACAAATGGTAGTGATTGGTTTATCTTTTGGGACTTGGATTGAAGTGCATGACACCTATGCTGTTATACCAGGCATGGGCCAACTTTGGCCCACCTCCAGGTGTTTTGGACTTCAACACAGGCATGGCCCAACTTTGGCCCTCCTCCAGATGTTTGGGGCTTCAACACAGGCATGGGCCAACTTTGGCCCCCCTCCAGATGTTTTGGACTTCAACACAGGCATGGGCCAACTTTGGCCTTCCTCCAGATGTTTTGGACTTCAACACAGGCATGGGCCAACTTTGGCCCTCCTCCAAATGTTTTGGACTTCAATACAGGCATGGCCCAACTTTGGCCCTCCTCCAGATGTTTTGGACTTCAACACAGGCATGGGCCAACTTTGGCCCTCCTCCAGATGTTTTGGAATTCAACACAGGCATGGGCCAGCATTGGCCCTTCTCCAGGTGTTTTGGGCTTCAACACAGGCATGGGCCAACTTTGGCCCTCCTCCAGGTGTTTTGGACTTCAACTCCCACAATTCCTAACAGCCTACCGGCTGTTAGGAATTGTGGGAGTTGAAGTCCAAAACACCTGGAGGAGGGCCAAAGTTGGCCCATGCCTGTATTATACATTACTGGTTGCAGCTCAGTCAAGATATTAAACTGCAGGTGAATTCTAATTATAGTGTGTTGTCGAAGGCTTTTATGGCTGGGTTGCTGTGAGTTTTTTGAGCTGCATGGCTATGTTCCAGAAGCATTCTCTCCTGATGTTTCGCCTGCATCTCTGGCAGGCATCCCCAGAGGTTGTGAGGTCTGCTGGACCAACCTGGGCACAGCATATTTGTTGACAACACAGAAATGCTGATCCATCTAACCGAAGACTTTGATGGCCAGAATCACTGGGTTGCTGTGAGTTTTCCAGGCTGTATGTCCATGTTCCAGAAGCATTCTCTCCTGACAATTTTCCTCCATCTATGGCAGGCATCCTCAGAGTTTGCGAGGTCTGTTGGAAACTTGGAAAATTGGATTAATATATCTGTGGAGTGTCCAGGGTGGGAGAAAGAACTCTTGTCTGTTTGAGACAGGCAGTAAGAAGCCAGACCTTGAAAACTGCTAGGCCATTAAATGCTAATCAAGGTGGCCATTCACACCTACTTCCAACAGACAAGATTCTTTCTCCCACCCTGGACATCATTCCAGAGATATATAAAACCAATTTTCCTAGTTTCCAACAGACCTCACAACCTCTGAGGATGCCTGACATAGGTGCAGGTGAAACACCAGGAGAGAATGCTTCTGGAAAATGGCCAGACAGCTCAGAAAACTTACAACAACTCACTCTAACAACCACCATGTCAGACTACACAGAGAAGCCATTGAAATCCACAAGCATGGGGACAATTTCAACAGAAAGGAGGAAACCATGAAAATGAACAAAATCTGGCTACCAGTATTCAAAAACTCTAAAATCAGGACAGTAATTAAAGAGCAACACTCAGAAAACAGGGGAATTTCATACAGGGAACAATCAGGGCCAGCTAACACCTCCCAACAAAGGATTTCCCCAGGCAGGACGCAGCCAGGCTTTGAAGCTGAAAGGACATTCAGTACTAATCAAGGTGACCAATTGCAACATTCCGACTTGCTTCCAATAGACAAGAAGTTTTTCTCTGAGCCTGGATATTATTCTACAGGGATATATATAAACCCCAACAGACCTCACAACCTCTGAGAATGTCTACCAGAGATATGGGTGAAACGTCAGGAGAGAATGCTTCTGGAACATGGCCAGACAGCCTGGAAAACTCACAGCAACCCACAAACTAATTACAGTTGTACAATAGTTGCTTTCTTTCCTCCCAGTATTAATGTGGAAGAGAACACAGTCTGTTTCTGGGGTCTAAACCCATAAGATTGGGGGTGGGGGGTGGGGGGGGGTGGGGGTCTTCTAGTCGCTCTTGCGCATCACTGTCCTGCCCATACTTACAGTCACAATTCTTTCTTCCTTGTTGTTGAGGAGGGACATGCATCTCTTAGTTATTTCTTCGGCAAATTCCTGAAACAAGAGTTAGAATCAGAATGCTCACCCACAGCAAGGTTCTCAATCAAAACAAAACTACTCAAGTTGGATAGTCACAGAATCACCGATTTGGAAGAGACCCCAAGGTGATCCAGTCCAACCCCCTTCTGCCATGCAGGAAAAACACAACCCAAGCTCCCCCAACAGATGGCCATTTAGTGTCTGTTCAAAAGCCTCCCAAGAAGGAGTCTTCACTGGATTCCGAGGCTGAGAGTTCCACTGCTGAACAGCTCTTCTTACAGTCAGGAAGTTCTACCAAATGTTCAAGTGGGATCTCCTTTCCTGTCATTCAAAACCCTGGCTCCACTGAGTCCTAGTCTCCAGGGCAGTCCTTACTTTATAGTTATTGTATATCAGCCACTAGAGGCTGATGGTTTAACTCAGGGGTCCTCAAACTAAGGCCCGAGGTCCAGAAACGGCCCTCCAAGGTCATTTACCCAGCCCTCGCTCAGGGTCAACCCAAGGCTGAAATGACTAGAAAGCAAACAACAACATCAACAACAACAATCCTATCTCATCAGCCAAAAGCAGGCCCACACTTCCCATTGAGATACTAATAGGTTTATACACCTAACAGTCCAACAAGTATCCATCACCCCTAAAAACACACACACACAAAATCCTCAGCAGAACAGACTTAAATACCCAAAAATACACCATATATACAGATATACATACACTCATATACATATACACATGCACACGTTCATGTACACACACATATATATATATGCACAAGCACACACAAATATAAAAATATATACACATACACGTATACATACATATACACTTGCACACAGAAATATACATATATACACACACATATACACATGCACACAAATATACATACACACGTGCACACACAAATACATATACACATACATATACACATATATATACACAAATATGTATATAGACAAGCACACACATATACACAACATGCATATACACATATTAACACGCAAATGCACAAATATACACACATATATACACACATACACATGGAGTCAGACATGACTGGACTTAATGTCAGGGGACTACCTTTACCTTTACTATACACACATACACACATATAAACATATATACACAGACTGGGCCACAGGAACACATGGCAGGGGATGGCTAGTGTGTATGTGTGTGTATGTATGTGTGTGTGTATATATACGAACACAATAAACTGTTTGCTTATATCCCTGGACTCTTGTGTGGTGTGGTGGAATGCAACAATAATGTAACTTATCCTGTATATGATTTGTGGCAAGGATCTAAGGAATGGCAAGATGCATATCATCCTGAGCAAATTAAAGGACGAAATGATGATACATTCAATTTCCATTGATTACCTTTGTTTCTGTAGGAATATAAAAGGCCTCAAAGAAGGAGGGAGATTCACAAGAAGTGCTAAAATGCAGCTCTGTTTTGGGAAATGGATTTTACAAGCAGTACTTTACTTTACCTGAACGGCCAAGCTGGGCTGTAGGGAGAGGTTCATCATTAAGCCAAGCACTGCATACAGACTCTCTGGGTATTGTGTGATCTTGCCTTCCACCCAGCATTCATCCTGAACAAACAAGAGAAGGCAATGCATTCCTTTCCTCTCTAAAGGAGGACGGGGAACCCACAGACGAAATGACAATTGAGTTGGAGTGCACAAAATCAGTACAAAGCAGCTTCTGGATCAGACTGAGACTATTAAAGGAGAGTCCATTTGTTAAAAGAGGTCACCTCTAATGGGTTGATTTATCACTCACCAAGTTCCTTTTCCAAGTGACTATCCTTTCAAAAAACACACATCCAAAGGCAAGGCCACGTGTGCTCATTTGTGAGGAAGGAACTTCATTTCTGGAAGCAACCAATAATAATAATGCTTGGGTGTCCTCCTAGATTCGTCGCTAATGCTTGAAGCTCAGGCGTCGTCGGTGGCTGGGAGGGCCTTTGCACAATTGAAACTCGTGCGGCAGCTGTGACCATACCTCGTGAAGTCGGATCTGGCCATGGTGGTCCACGCCTTAGTCACCTCCAGATTGGATTATTGCAATGCACTCTATGTGGGGCTGCCCTTGAAGATGGCTCGGAAATTTCAATTGGTCCAACAGGCAGCAGCCAGATTACTAACTGGAGCGACTTACAGGGAGCGGTCAACCCCCGTGTTTAAGGAGCTCTACTGGCTACCATTCATTTTTTGGTCTCAATTCAAGATGCAGGTTCTAATAATAATAATAAAACTTTATTTATACCCCACCACCATCTCCCCAAGGGACTTGGAGAGGATTACATGAGGCCAAGCCCAACAAAACATCAATAAAACAAGACAGCCATAAACCAAAAACAATACAATTAGCATAAATCACATATAAACAATAACACACAAGATTTAACAACCTATGGCCGGGCCAAATGTAATAGTTTAAAATTTAAAAAATAAACGCTGGGCATGAACAAGGTAGGATATATCTGGTATAAGGGTTTTAAAAGAAATGAGGGGAGCGCAACCTAAACCAATAGTAAAGTGCATTCTGAGGACATATTGCTGGGAATTTTTCCTTATTCTGGGAAGGCACACTGGAACAGCCACGTTTTCAAGCTCCTCCTAAAGACTGCCTATGTTGGGGCATGCCTGATGTCCTTGGGAAGGGAGTTCCAAAGTCAGGGGGCCATCACTGAGAAGGCCCTCTCCCTCATCCCCACCAATCGCGCCAGCGAAGGAGGTGGGAGTGAGAGCAGGGCCTCTCCAGATGATTGAAGCCCTGAATGGTTTGGGACCCGCCTACCTGCGCAAACGCATTTCTATTTACGAAATCACGCAATCTCTTCAATCGTCCGGAGAGGCCCTACTCTTGCTCACATCCCCCTCGCAGGCGCGACTGATAGGGACGAGGGAGAGGGCCTTCTCGGTGGTGGCCCCCAGTCTCTGGAACTCACTTCCCAAGGACATCAGGCAAGCCCCCACATTGGCAGTCTTTCGGAGGAGCTTGAAAACTTGGTTGTTCCAATGTGCCTTCCCTGAATAAAGGAAAGAATACCCTGATCTGACAAATTTTCTGCAAAATGTCCTCTGAAGCACTTTATCCACCCGTTGGAGTAATTCCCAATATTACCCTCAAAAAACCCCTGTTCAGACATACTCTACTGCTGTTCACACCCAGTGTTTTAGATTTTTAATTTAATACATTTGGCCCTGCCCACAGTGTTGGATTCTTGTATTTTAAATTTTCTTTTTTTATTGCTTATGTGTTATTTATAATATTTATATTATTATTTATTTTATTTTGTTTTTGCTGATGTATTATTGTTGGGCTTGGCCTCATGTAAGCCGCCCCGAGTGGTGGGGTATAAATAAATTATTATTATTATTATTATTATTATTATTATTATTATTATTATGTGACTTCAGGGGGAGTGCAACCCCATCAAGTATAGGTTGCTACCCGATACACTGATCCGGCTTATGATCGACCTGGAGGACCTCTGTCTTGTCAGGATTGATCCTCAACCTATTCATCCTCATCCAGACCAACACAGCAGCCAGGCACTCGTCCAGCACCTGAGGGGCTTCCTTGGAATTAGGTGGAAAACAGTAGTAGAGTTGGGCATCATCTGCGTAGAGATGGCACCCAACTCCAAAACTCCGGATGACCTCTCCCAGCGGTTTCACGTAGATGTTAAAGAGCATGGGGGACAGAATGGAACTTTGCGGGACCCCACAGGTCAAAGGCCAGGGGTCCGAGGAGGTTTCCCCTAGCTTCACCATCTGTGTGCGACCCTCCAGGAATACTCTGAAAAGGATTGTAGGCATGACAAGATGATAGATACTCCTACAGAGGTGACCTCCAAGTAGTCAGTACAGCCAAAGGTAAGGAACACTGGGAATTGAAACTTAACAACATCTTGAAGGCCAGCCATTCCCACCCCTACTTACCAAAGATGGAAGCAGAAGAAGGCTTCAGCCTAGGGAAATACAAGATGTTTTGTGATAAACTGAGGATAAACTCAGGCGATCTAACCATAGGATGCCCACTCACCACAAACTTCACGCAGGCCTCCCAGCATTCCTGGCTTTCGGCCATCTGCATCTGGATGACCACATCGGAGCAGAGGTCTCCCATTACAGCAATGCACTGCGCCAGGACCACCTCATTCAACGTCTCCACTGAACCCTTTTGGAAACAAGAATAAGAAGAGGGTATCTGTTGGGACACCAATATCCTCAAAGAAGAGTTATCAGCTGCCTTTAGGAAATCCCCTCTATTAAAACGACTATATTTCAATGCATAATAGTCAAATTCCCCTCCCCACACTTTTTTTTCATCAAAAGGGGGTTGCGACTGTTATGCGAGGAAAAAAATGCCTTTGATTCCCTGATTTCTGGTTCTTATATTGTAAAGAAAGTCTGGATTGTGGAGTTTAGATTTAGAGAAACCATCCACCAACTGCTGGGTAGGGGTAAGAGGGGTTGGGGTAATACAGTGGTTAAAACTACTAGTAAAGTAAAGGTAAAGGTTTTCTGACATTAAGTCTAGTTGTATCCAACTCTGGGGATTGGTGCTCATCTCCATTTTTAAACCAAAGAGCCGGCGTTGTCTATAGATACCTCCAAGGTCATGTGGCCAGCATGACTGAATGAAGCTAGATTTCTGCTAGATGCAGGAAATATGCTGATCGGTTAGCAGTTCAAAGCCTCAAGTCAGGGTGAGCTCCCAGCTATCAGCCCTAGCTTCTACCTACTAGCAGTTCAAAAGCATGTAATGTGAGTAGATCAATAGGTACCACCTCAGCTTGGGTGGTAAAGGGTGCCACATGCAGACATGCCAGCAATGATAAGAGAAAACCTATGAACAACAGGCTCCTCAGCATGAAAAAAATGGAACAAGAGCACCTCCCCATGGCTGGAGTTGAGCACAGCCTCCCGATGCCAGAAATGGAAAGGGGAAGGCCTTTACCTTTGTCTGTGTATTGTATGTCGTTGTTTACTGTGTAAAAAGACATTGAATGTTTCCCTTATATATGTACAACTGTAATTTGCTCTGAGTCCCTCCAGAGAAATAAAGTGGAATATAAATAAAGTGTATTATTATTTGAAACATAACAAGATGAGTACACAACAAACAAGGTCACTCTGCTGGCTGTTGTATTGGACCACACGTTGGACACTTCCCAAGTGTCTAGGACTGTGTGATGTATTGGCATATAATGTGTGCAGATCCCAGTAAGGTGGCCTTTTACAGCTGACAGATGGTGATCTTGTCAGCGCTGATTGTGTTTAAGTGCAGGCCAAGGTCTTGAGGCACTGCACCCAGTGTGCCGATCACCACTGGGATCACCTTTACAGGCTTGTGCCAGAGTCTTCAGTTTGATCTTTAAATCTTATTATTATTATTATTATTATTATTATTATTATTATTATTA